TCAGAGTCCGGCTTGGGAGGACCGCACATGTTCCCGTTGCTTGCTTAGAAACTGGCGTACGCCATCTTTTGAGCGTACGCACCGTTTATAAATGAGGCCCCTGAAGCGCAAATGCGGCGCAATTAAGTGCGCCACAGTTTCGCCGCTGCGAGGCTCCGGCACTCGCAGTTCACGCGCGTGCTCCACTAGCATTTACATTGAGCTACATGGTTATGATGCGTCAACGGATATTATTGCTGTGAATCAGCCTTGGTAAAACACATTTTTTGCAGGCTCGATAAACGTAGACAACAATGACAAATATATCGCTTCATTAACAAGGTTGCATTTTCAAAGAGTTCTGAGTTTAAAACACACATGTTGAGGAAATAGATTACAAATTCTTAAAAAGCACAGGTAACTTGTGGGTTTGTCCGTCATGATGATTCGATGTTCCCCTGAGAAGTATAAGCAGACTTGTCTCAAATTGAATAACCGTACTCGCAGTAGCACATGAGCTAATCTTTCCTTTGCATTTTTTGGCCCAGAGTGAGCAAAAAACATTAACCAAAACGTTTTACTCAGACTGTTTTCTATCATGACAAATATGATGATCAAATCGGGCTATTTTCTTTGAAAGTCCATGCCACACTTCAGATGAGGGGAGCAAAAGAGCATGTTTTGTAAGACGTACAGTGACCTTTTCACAGTACGACTTTCATACAGTTTGAATATGTGACGTTGTAATGTAACAGGTGAGGTAAGTTGTATTGCTTTGGTCCCATGCTGTTCTTTCTCCAAGCGCTGCAGAGGCAGGAGGCTGATACAGCATTCCCACTACTTGTTATGCTACGCACGGAATTCTTTATTATTATTCAGCCAGGTTAATTTGGTGCTCTTCTTCTCCCACATTCCACATCGCAGAAACTCCGTTCAAACATCAAAACGTTCAGCCTTAAAACACGATGTTGTCGTGATACCTATGCAAATGGTCTAAAACAGCACCAGACTTCAGATAATGGTTAATGGTCTGGCCTTCAACAGCTCTATGTCAATTATGGGGTTTCATCAAATGCCGTTTCCATGGAAACGCATCCCTCGCCATAAAACACGATGTCGCTGTAACTCCAATGGACACGGTCCGATCACCCCCCAATCTTCACTTGTATATCACCGGTCCATGCCTCAACAGCTCTACGTCAATTATGGGGTGTCATCATATGCCGTTTCCATGGAAACGCATCCCTCGCCTTAAAACACGATGTCGCTGTAACTCCAATGGACAAGGTCCGATTGTCCCCCAAAACACCACCAGACTTCAGATGACAGTTAAATGTTAAATGTTGTGAAAATTGTCAAAAAGTGCTAAAACTTCACATGTGTGCTAACAGTCCAGCCCTGAAGACATCTACGGGACAGTTTTGAGATTTCTTCAAATGCCGTTGCCATGGCAACACAATGCTCGCCATGAAACACGGTTTTCTCATAACTTCAGTGAAAATGCTCCAAACAGCCCAAAACTAAACAGGTTTGGTAACGATGCAGCCATCAACATATCTAAGCGTATTATGGGGTGTCATCAAATACCTTTGCCATGGTGACAGATCATTCGCCATCAAATATCTGCTGCTTTTCCAAGCCTTTTTACTTATTTTCTTCTCTTATCACACATTCAAGCCCCCAGTGTTCATGTATCATTTCAATCTAAATTCTTCACTTTCTTCTTACACATTACATTTCAGCATAGCAATTCAGCATCAGCTTTTCAGCATAAAGCATTCCTACTAGCAATTTCTTCAGGAATTGCATTCTCTAGTTTCACCATGATATACACCCTAGGATTGCTTCATCAACAATGCATGTGAGACTGACCTTGTGCAGAATCTGTGGTTCTGCCTTTCCTGGATGATCTTCAATTGTTCAGCAGGGATAACATGTGAAGCAAAACATTGAGTCTTTCTATACACCATTGCAATCCCCAGAGTGCTCACATAATCACCTTTTCAATTTCTTGTGCATTGGTCGTGAAGCTGTACACAGAAATAAAGTATATGCACATCCCAATTCAATACTAAAGAAAGGCTACACTGCAGTCTCTGGATGTTGCTCAGAATGAGCTTTTATTGTGTATTTCTGTCAAGCAGTATCTCTGTCAAGCAATGCCACAACTTTAAATTGCAATACGTGACACATAAATGCAGGTCGTTGGATTACAGAGTGTTGGATTGAGCTCAGTAATAATGTTCATCATACGGATCAGATTGCCCTATGGCATAAGGCAAACACTACAACTGAACCGTAATCTCTCTGTGAATATAAAATAGTGTATGTAGACTCCATACAGAGTAATACTGGACCCCAAATGTATAAGGGCAGTTGGTATTGCATCTTATTAACATTCTTCACATGTGTGTTATTGAGCCATGCTAGCGCCCTCGCTCTAGGGATAGTATTTATGTCTGTCTTCCTGTCATGTTTTTTTCACGTCGGAGAGCTATTTTGCTTCCATAAATGTCCTATTTCAACGCATTGGAAAGAAAGCATCCAAAATACATGATAAAGTGTTTAAAAAGTGTTTAAAGGTTACCTTAAGATAATTTCTAATAACATTTCAGAAAACTAGAAATATTGGTCTTAATGGAGTCTGGAGAAGTTTCATGCAGTATATATGTGTTAAAGCTATGGAGTGTCTGGCAAAATTCAAATCCCCCTTTTGTCAAAATTATAATTTTTCTCATAGACTGAGCCAAAAATCAACACTTCAGTATCCCTTACTTAAAACCCCTTTTTTTATTATATTTAAACCTTAGAATTTGTTTGCTTGTATGGAATCCTGCAGGGCTCACACCCTGCTCTGTCACGGCCCGTCCACACAGCAGCGTTAAAAAAATCTTAGAGGTGGCCGTATCTGAAGCTTGGGGATTTTTTGCGAGCAAGGCACCAACAACCAATCACATGAATCTCCCGCCCCCGACATACGAAGCAAAAAAGCCCGAAGTAAACTGGATATAAACTCCCCAAACAGGCGAAACCTACCACTGTCTCTGCCACCTCCCTCCATGCCTGGCTCCTCCGGTTTATATCCCGGTAGGTAAATAGGGACAGGTCATAAAGCACCGGGTGATTCCCTACCGCTAATTTCTCCTCCATGTTTTGGAATATGAGGAAATGACCTGCGGTATGTCACTCCCAGCTTACACGCGGTTTGATTGGCTAGCGCTTGAACTGTCAGATTTGCATACACGAGATTTGATTGGCTGACGCTTCCACCTCAGCTTCAAAAGTTGAACATTGCTCAACTTTGAATCCTGAAAATCCTGAAAATCCTGAAAATCTCCGCTCGCCTGCCCACAATGCAGTTCGGCGAAAAGTGAGGCAAAGTGACGTCACCCCATTCAAAGTGAATGGGCAAGAAGCGTTTCAAGATTTTTTTTAACGTTGCTGTGTGGACGGTCCGTCACAGTCTGTCTGTCACACACAGACACACAACACACACTCATACAATTTCTATGCCCTTGCCTTGCCTAGACCAGACGATCTGTGGCTGTGAATAATAGAAGAGTGGGCTGAGGTCAGACTGTTCAATTGCAGAGGAAACAAGGGAGAGGCTTTTCTTAAACACGTCAGCCCTTTTAAATAAGTCAGACAACACATTGTGGTATCCTTAAATCTAGGCTACAGAAACGCTGAGATATCATCTGGGATTGGTATTTTAGCTACATTTAGTTTGTGACAAAGGCCTGAGGCTAAACGGCAAAGTTGGGGGTTCAAATGGATAATCATCTCCATCCAGCTGTGAAAAAGTGCGGGGGGAAATGAATAAACCAGCTGTCTCCTCTTGTAATTACTACTGATGATGCGCCCTTTTAGCAAAGCAGACAACTGGGAGGAAGCTTTCTGCTCAGAACAGGGTTTACAGTAACATGCTGTAGCGCACCACTACAAAACATGTGCTCAGACTAACACAGTTCCCAACAAAAAATGACATTTTTAGTTTTTAATTTCATTGTACAGGTTTTATTCTAGTGTGCCCTTTCCCTGTTAGATATTAATGATTGCAACCTTCTCCCATAGTTACACATTTGATGTGATGCTGTGAATGAGGACACATCATATAGTTTTACAACATGGCCACAAAATGTCAAATTGTCGAGATATTAACCTGTGTCATCAAGGCATCCCAATAGGTTATGTGTTAGCTTCTTATGTATGTGCTCTATACTCCATATATAAAATAGTTTTCATACCCATTATAATGTCTCTCAAGCAGGTTGTGAGGCACGCTGTGGATTCTGTAGCAATGCTGCCATTTAGTGGTGATACAGTGTCATTACAGCCAAAAACTCAACATACCAGCGCCAGATACATATAGAATGTGGGTTCCCTATTGACTCATGTTTTTTCACGTTCCTTTTTAAACATTAGCAAATAGTTGGGCCAATTTCCTTTAGAAAAAATGCACCATGGGACCACATCCGATGGTCCGTATATTCAAAGAAACAGTTTCAATCCCATAATTAAAAATGCTCCTTTTTTCCTTTGACCTTTTTATTATATTGTTTGGTGTGAGCCATCAGCCATAAAGATGACTGCCTTCTCTCAAATATGTTGGAACTTATTTTTTTGCACCCTTTTTTCTGCATGGTGATACGTTTGGGGGTGTAGTTCCCACAGAAGAAAATATATATTTCCAAAATGAAATTGCTCATAACAATGTCTGTGGGTTATCTTTGGTGAATGGGTTATGATTTTTACAAAGAGATATTGCTGTTGAGTTTTTCAACTGATTTCTTTGTTTTTACTCAGCTTTGAGTAACACGAGCAGAATGCCTTCTAGTTTCATTATATTGGAGAAAATGTCTATTGCCAATCTATACAACACATGGGCATTGTACATTTCAATTTTAAACAAAATAAATTGCATGGCATAAACCCGTAAGATCTCTCCAGGGTGATTGCCCAATTTGCCTTAGGTTAAAACATGACTGGAAAATTGATGTTGTACATTTATTTTTATTGTCATCGTCTAAACAGCACTCACAGCTGGTAGAACAACATGGTAAATGTAACACAAAAAAACAATGCATTATTAATGAAGTGATATTGTGCATGTTGTTGCATGTATGATTACAATGTCACAGTTATACAAACATGGATATTTAAATTATACACGCTACTTTAACCTGCTTATTGCTTTCGTTCCTCTGCACTCTGTGCATGCACCTTACATTAATTGACAAGTTACATTTAGATAACAACAGTCTGCAGTAGTCATTACAGGCTGCAAAACGCACTGCAGGGAGGTCAACGTGTGCAGCTCGAGCTTGTTTCTACAAAAAGAAAAATATACAGTGTGAATGTTTTATTGAGTTGCATCAATAAAATACAGACAAGACAAATTGGAAAAAGAACGAGCAGTAGGAGGGTTTTCAGGTTGTGTATGTTTATCATGGTGTGCTGTAGTACATCTGCAGAGCGGGGGTGAAGATTAGGACAGTTCCTAGTATTGCCACTGTAAGGAAGGCCCACAGGAAAATCCTGTCCAACACCTGAGCCACAAACTTCCAGTCTTGAACAACCTATATGAGGCAGAAGAACAAACATAGACAACAAGAGAGAGACAAAAAAAGAAAGGTTCTCAGGTGTGAATCTGTGTCAGCCTCAAGCATTTTGGAAACATTGCTAACACAAAGTACTTTGTGTCATTTGTTTAGCAGTTATACAGCAAGTTAGATCTCCTTAAGCACAACATATGTAATGTTTTGCAACCAACCAGTCTCTCTCCATTTGAACATTAACAAAATATAGAGTTTGTTGAAGTGAGGTGAATCAGTGTGGGGTCATAGGGGGTTTTGTCTTTACCACCATAGCAGTCTGCTTACTCAGGATCCCAAAGCAAACGGACCAGGGGATTAACTCTGGTAAAAACCCTGAAAAAAAGCTGTTTTCAATGTAAAAAAAAATATTTCTCCGACCGTTGGAGCCTAGCTGTTAGCCTAGCTGCTGCTAATGTATGCCTGGCTTGTTTCTTTGATCATGAATTTGAAGAGGTTTTGATCAAAAGGGGAGCACTAGCTTTTTATCCTCCAAAACACACAGATTTGGTAAGTAAAACTTGGTAAAGCACTGAATATAGCAGTTTCATGTTAAAAATGTTTCTCTGATCTGTAGCTAACATTTGTTGATCTTGTGTCACTAATAACTTAAATTCCAGATTGTAATGACTAAAATCCTTAAAGGTAGGGTAGGTAAGTTTGAGAAACCAGCTCGAGATCGCTAGAATTTGAAAATACACAACCGGAGAAAATCTGCCACTTCCTTACAGAGCCCCTCCTCCAACACACACGAACGCGCACATAACCAATGAGGGCACGAGATAAGTTTGTGCACAGATGGAAGGCTGACAGGCAGGTAGGCCATCCAGTTATTTTAGCCGGGCCGGCTAAAATGATTGGTCGTACTTTTTACAGTACTACGGCTTCCACAGATGACATTTTTTTAATGGATTTTTTGTCAAAGCACTTAAGATATTCATTGCTATCGGGATGTTAAGAGCATTCCATGGAATATAACAAAAAGTGTATCTCGAGCCGGTTTCTCAAACTTACTTACCCTACCTTTAATGTAGTTCAAACATGCAGTTATAATTAACAAAATCTAAAACATGCATCAAAATAATGTGGTTTGAAACAGTCAATGTATGACTCCTGGCAGACATCATATAGCTCATATGTTGTAAGGAGAAACCTTGGTGTTAGAGCCAGACAAATAAAAAGGGCCGTCTCGTTGATTAAGAAAACAGATTCCTCATTATTAAAAACTGTTGGAAGCATTTGGGATAATGTAAGTACACGAACATATAACATAGGTCTAGTCCTTTCTAGACATTTTAATGCAGAAACATCTCTATCTATTATATCTTTAAAAAACAATGAGCTGTACACATTTCATCTCATGTCTGCCCACTCACCTCTCGTATGAAGTGCTCCTTTTTGATGTGACGGCTGATGTAGCGTACTGAATTTGTGGCTTTCTCCAGCATGGCCAGCCAGGCTTGGTTGTCGTCCTCCTTCGCGGCGGGGGGGCCCCTCTGCTGGCCGGGAGCCCCCTTCTTCCCCGCACCTTTGCGGGGCTTCGGCTCCGGGCTATGCATCTCCATATCTGGAAAGTGGTATCTGAGGATAATGGACACCACATGTTTTATTCATTTTACATATTTGTCTTCTTATGTTTTGATAGATATCAAAAGGACATTTTTGGTAAGGGACTCATTTGCTTTCCTGTTGCGAGTTGGATGAGAAAGTCAATATTGCTGTCATGTCTTTACACGAAATATTAAACTATACTCAGGAGACTGGTAGCTTAGCTTAGCATAAAGACTGGAAATAGGAGGACATTTTAGCCTGGCTTTATCCAGAGGTAACAATATCTGCCTTTTATTCAGCACTTTAAAAGCGTGTGTATAAAACGTCAATTTGCCATACCTCAAGGGCAGTGACTGGTGAGAACTAGTAATGTCCGGGGGTAATTGCCTGGCAACTGCTTAGGCTAGCTGTTACCCTGTCTCCAATCGTTATGCTAAGCTTTGACCATCTTCTATCAGTGTAGGAAATCTTTTCCCAAATTGTCAAACCCACATTACCTGTCAGTGTGCCCCCTCATACACAGCAGTCTAGGCAATCTCTGAAGAAAGAGGCTCTTTACCCAGGGGGCCATGGGGTGGTAAGTAGTTGAAGAACGGTGGTGGACGTTGATGACAAAGACGGTGACGATGATGGAAAAAGTGACGAAGATCATGATGAACAGCAGGTATTCACCGATCAGTGGGATCACCTGGAGATGGTCAAATCAGTTGAGGGTTATTATTAAATAATATGTTTATTTTATTTTACCATATCAAGAGATTACACTGCTCCTTAAAGAGGCATTCCACCATTTGTTGTGATGTTATTGATTTAGCACATTGGTGCTTTGGGCTAAATGCTTACATTTGTGATACTAATCAGTTAGCATGGTGATGTTTACTAGTTCATATTTTCAAGATTTCACAGCAATTTATCCAATGGTGGTCATGATATCTCACTCTTTTACATACATGTCAAAAGTATGATGAAACTAGCGGAAGAAGTCAGGAGATCACCAGTCAATAGGCTTCACCTTCTTGGAACCACAAATACATTTAAACCCACAAGGGAACTACACACAATGCAAGATAGTGGTCAAGCTTTGTTAGTCGACTGAATTTTTGTGATTTTGGAGAGTCATTGTCTTTTGGAGCTCTGAAGACTTTGCCCTTGTACTGTTGTATCTGCAGTTAAGCTATAGGAAATTCAGAGCCTGGTGGTTGTAATCTGGGCATTCTGCAATTAAGATGACAATTAGGATAACTAGACCCAGGAAAAAGTCAGATAGCTTTAAAACGGACTGCTCAATGGAAACTCCCCCCTTAGGAAACCCACCTTTGAGGAAGACGGGATGATTTCCTCTATGACCAGGAGGAACACAGTGAGCGACACCAGCACTGATGTGGAGAGTGACAGTTTCTCTCCTTCGTCTGATGGCAAATAAAACACCAGCACGGTCAGGAAGGAGAGGCCGAGGCATGGGATGATGAGGAAGAGGGTGTAGAACAGAGGCAATCTCTTGAGGATGAAGGAGTAAGTGAGAAATGGGTACCAGTACATCTCATCCCTCCTGCTTCCCCTTTGTCCCGTGGCGTTGAGGATCTGCCACTCGCCGTTATCAAAGAAGTCTTTCCGGTCCACATAGTGATCCACCAGGACCAGGTCCACCATGTTCCCATCGTAAGTCCAGGATCCGAACTTCATGGAGCAGTTCTGTCGGTCAAATGGGAAGAAGGTGACGTCCATGGTGCAAGAGGACTTGTAGCTGGCCGGTGGAGTCCATGTTATGGTGCCATCCCAACGCACGATGGCTTTGGTCATGAGGGAACCTTCAAAGCGACCGTCCGCACTGGGAGAAGGAGAGAAAAAAAAGGGGTACATTTAAGGTGGTAAAGGTGTGCCTGTTGCTGTGGTCCTGGATCCTGAGTCCTGGATCCTGAGTCCTGGATTTGGAGTCGTGGCTGAACCTGTCTCTGCGGTCCTGCCTGACTCTCATCATACTGCTTCCCTGATGGCTCCCACAGGATTGTTGACATCCTCGTGGATTCATCTTCTTATTATAGACACATGCATTTCCAAACAATTATGACACATTTACTCCCAATAGACCAACACTTCATAATCTTACAGCACTATACATAAATATCAACCAAATATACACGCACTTAAAAATGAACCTCCCACAATACACAATAATAATGCTCCAGGAGTTTCTCATAATGGATGAACAACAAAATATACAAACACAGCCCCATGACCACAAGATACAATACACAAATCCAAACAGACAAAAGCCACAACTACATCCATTAGTGATAAACACTTTTACAAAACATCCGTTTACACACTCACACACAACCTCGTGCAAGAAAACCCAAGAATAGATGTTTCCAGTTGCATGCTCACTACTTTCCCAACACATGCATTTTTCACTGCGACTTTACTATTAAAAACACTTCTGTGTAGCATGGCTGCTAAAGCGTGAGAGTGTTTATGTTTTAAATAGGTAGGTTTAAAAAAAAAAAAATGCATGGATCGGGAAGTAGTGAGCAGGACTGAATATTGATTTTATTTATTTAGTGGAGGTGATCGACAAAAATAAAGATTCTTCAGAAATTCAGGATAGTAAGTGATGAGTTACAGATATATTATTGAAATGAAATTATTATTTTAAGGTTGAAGAATTCCTTCATGAAAGGCAAAGTATGGGAGGAAGAAAGCTATTAGAAGGGAACATACATGTGCCTCAGAGTTATCAGGCATCGGACTGTGCTACTGATGTGTGCTGCATAACTCACTTTTCATACAGGACGATGTCAGGCAGCCATATAGTCTCTGAGGGCACTCTGATGGAGGTGATACCTCCATAGTCATCTGGGTTCCACTTCAGCTTCACGTCTACCCACTCCTTTAATAAAAATAAAAACACAGCTTGATAAGTAACACGATAAGACACAAGACTTAGCTTGAAAATGCTTTAAGTGCATCTTGGAACAAGGACAGGGACGGGACTACGTACAAAGCCAAAGGTCTTTATATTTCAGTGTACATTTGTCTTTCAAGGCCCATGTGTGTCTTTTATTCAAAATCTTATAACATAAATGTATAATTTTAGCAGCTAAAAGAAGCAGATAAAGTTACAACTATATTCACACTTTATTCTCTATTACATACTCTATTTTGACGATGCTCTTAATTGTTATATTTTGATTAAATCTATTTATGAACCAGGGGCCTGTAATTATCAAACAACTAAGAATTGCTTGCAAAAATGCCAAAAAGAAAATAGGAATGAAAGTAAAATCAGAATAAAATAAAAGAATCCTGTATCACCTACTCCTACACAGGTGAACATTGAACACATTTAAGATCAAGTGATCACTTGATTAATCACATGTACTACTTTTTGGAGTACTACATTTCAATTTAGCAGTTTGAATGCAAGTATTCAGTATCATTGAAAGTATGTAAGCTCTACTTGAATTGTCTGCAAGAAAAGTCATAGACCATTATAAGTGACAATATACATTAACTTTAAGAAGGTAATTCACTTTAAGAAACCCCAGATGTCAAAATGGCACCCTTCAATTGAATAAACAAGCATTTGTAAATAGTAACGGCTATTTTTACCTGCCAGAGCCAGACATTTGTAGTCATCGCTTGGTTCTTTTCGTCCTGTAGAGAGATAAGGAGGAAGTTTAGTTCACTGTTTAAACGTCTCAGTGGTGTTTACGATAAGAAAGGCTAATGAGGAGCTAAGGAGCAAACCAGAAGCTGGAGACAAAAAGCTGAGTGGGATGAAAACAAAAAACGAGTTATTTTTTTCAAAAAGAATGAATTGCTTCTTTTGCTTGCCACTTAGAAAGAACAGCAGAACAGCTCGGAGGGTTAAGTGCATTGCTTCAGGGTGAATCTAGAAGGTAATGAGGGAGAGAATCACACGTTACTCGTCATCGACCAAAATGACTGGCAATAAAGCTAATGCTGCATCATTTCATACAAAGTACAGACGACAATAGCAAAAGATAGAAGCATGGAGAGAAGTAAGAGGAGGAGGAATAAGAAAGTAATACCCTGCTGTAAGTCAGAAGGGTTTTAATGTCAGCTCTGTAGGAGAAGACTTGCCGTAGAGAGAAAATCTATGGAATAGATTGTGTGGTTTGTCTGCTCTCGAGAGGAGCTGAGGAAAACCTGATTGCATCTTTTCTAAGCAAAGATTGATCTGACGTATTTAGTTTTTTCTAAATCACAGTAACTCTGCTAAAATAACACGAGATGGCACTCTTCTAAATGTTAATTCTGTATGGCAGAAGTACAGGCATCAAAAGCTAATGTAGTAAAACAAATGTCTCTGTGGAATTGTGAGAGCGTGTGTGTGTGTCCTTGTGTAAATAATAAATGGGATCTGGTTCCTCTCAGCCTGATGGCCTCATTACTTCCTCAGCTGCTATGAAAGACCACGTTGGACCTCACTTTTAACCTTTTAGTCTTCTTTTTATACTCTCTTCCCATCTTTGCCCCTTTAAATCCCTTAGGTCCTTTCCCTCCTCTTAATTTATCCTCACTCTGTTCTCAGTGTATCTCCCGTAGCACAGTTCCTCAGATGACCTCCCTAAGAGCCTTCCCTTTCCATTTCTTAGACTCCAAACGCCTTGCATGCCACCCATACCTTTTAGGTACGCTCCTATCTTCTTAACAATAAATAATCACGTGTCCTTCTTGTAAACCTAACCCTAACCCTATATTCTTAAGCGTCTGAGGTAAGTTTCACTACTCCTCTCCTTCGTACTTTATTTGCTTGCTTTCCTCTCTTTTTGCAAAACATAACTCAGCTATCCTAAAAAGCCTTTATAGAAGGCCATTTTCATTTCTGCAGAGAGCTTTCTTAACATGTACACACAGCTTAAGACCCTTTGTTGCGTTGGTCTCCCAGAAGCATTGCATGGTGGCCGACAGGTGCGAATGCGTAACAGCGACCAATAACATTTCCATTAGGAGAAACGACCTGCAGTTTCAAAAATGATATAAATAAAGAAATCACATGCAAATGAGGAGAAATCTTCACCAACTTGACAACATATGCACAGTTTTGTAGTGTTTCTCTAGCACATTTGTGTCGAGGGCCTGTTGTATCGCGTTTGCACCTTTTCCCTGTACACTAGTGCCTTTACAGTATATGTATGGTTCTATTTTTCTCCAAGGCGCTCAGGGTGAGACAATTTAAAATACCCATATCTATCTAATATTAATATGATACATCATGTATGATATGGGCAGAGCCAGAGCTATTCTCCAGGACAATGAGGTCATGTCCTCAGCCTTCTGTTTTGTTTCTCGGCCTGGCTAACATCTAATTTCTAGATTGGCTTTTCAAAAGGTCAGCCTGATTTGATTAATTTCCCATTTTCCATTCTGCCTTTGCCAATACAACTAAAAATGCAAAGCAAGCTCCCAAGCTGCATACAAATAATATGTTGATGTTCAAATCCAAGTCTGTTGATTTGAAATCACCACATAAATAAAAACAAATGATATATGTTTTGTTGAATTAATGCCAGAAATGACTTAATAATGTTTCATTCATTCATACTTTCTCTCCCATCTAACAGAATGTTTTTTTTTAACTTTAACAAAATTCAGAGACAGCTGTTATTTTCTGTCTTGGTCAAAAAAGATTTGAATTGAAATCCCTGTAGATTATGCAGAAATCCGCTGCTATAGGCTTTTACACAGGTGTAGATGCTAAAGGTCAGACACAGGTGTAATGTGATCCCATTACACCTGTTTCTGACCTTTTAACAGTTGTCTGTAAAGAAGAAGAAGAAGACATACTTTATTAATCCCTCACAGGGAAATGTCTTTCTCCACTCTAAGCTTTTTAGACCAGTTTAGATATAAGACCTTCCTTATGAACCTGTAGTTTGAGATCTTTGGACAGGGGACTTAACCTAAGTGGAAAGACTGTCCCTGAGGCATGAGGTGCCCGAGGAAGTAAGGCTGTCTGAGTCAGTGTCTTTATTTAAGTCTCTTCTAAAAATATACCTCACGAGAAAGCTCAACCTGTTTATCTTACCGTTACTATTTTGCCCTACATTTCATTTCAATTTTTGGCAGTTTATTAAATGTTTTCCCTTTGCGAAGCTCTAAGTACAGGGGTGCACACAACTTTCTCAGTGAGGTACTCAGATGAGTGCCTGGAGTCAGTGTTTGGTACTCCAACTTCTGGCGATTGTCAACCGAACCGGGGGGGGGGTGGTAGTGGAGTACAGCGCTTCGCGATTATCAACGGGGGGGGGGGGGGGGTAGTGGAGTACAGAGCTTCGTGACCGCGGAGCGTGTGAACGTTGTGATCAGCTGTTTTAGCGCAGTGCTGCTGTACGTTAACAGCAGCCCTGTCTGTGCACACGGAGAGCGACTCTGTCGTCCGGTGATCTAACCGCCTTCTGGAAAAGCTTCACATTTACGTCGGTACGCAAATGCGCTTTGTGACACAAGTGACGGTACGCATTTCAGATTGTTGCCGCGCATGCGTACCTGCGTACCAGTTATGTGCACCCCTGTCTATGTACCTTTTTAATAGATCGGACCTCTATAACAAATTGTATTGTTTATTATTACAGGAACCACAATATCATAAATCGGCTTCAAAGATGGACCTAAATTTAATAACAACATTATTTGACCAGGGTTATGCAGTTGAACAGGACATTAGCATGGAGCTTGTTAGAGCCTTGCTTAACAACGTTCTGTGTGTTTTTGTATCTGAGTATTGTTTTATTACCACATCCACCAGCTGTGAGATCTTCAGTCCAAAGCACACGGTGATGGTGTCGTTGGCATTATGGACAGGCCGGACCCACTTCTGATAACCCCTGAAAAGGTTCCTCAACAAGGAATCCTCCAACTCGGCCAGCGATACAAAATCTTCCTCAGCTGGAAAGAGCAAATGGAAAATGAAAGTTGAGGACAAGATAGAAAGGAAACAAGTTTAGGAGAGAAAATGATTTTGTATTCACGAGAATAAAGTAAGGATGTAACGATCAACCATGGAAATATTCCAGATGGTTCTTCAAGTCAAAACCGAGTCATACAAATTGTGACAACGTAGCATTAAGTTAGACTGACCTTTAAGGTTGACCATATATTGTGCAGCTAGGTTGACCCTTACACTAGACACCCCTGTATACATGTCAATTAACTAACCAACATTGCCATCCCTAGAGAAATGCCAATAAATATCAACAAAGAAAATTCATCTGAGAATACTCTGGACTCTTGGCAACTTTTTCTCCATTTTCTGAAGTAAATCATTTGACTAATACAAAAACATCACATTAAAGGAGCCCTATTATACATAATTTCATGTTCATATTTGTATGTTGTGCCTCTACTTTGACCTGTTTACATACTTTAATGTTCAAAAAGTGCTATATTTTTCTAATACTGCCTGTGCTGCAGTACCTTTTTTTACATCTGGAAATTGGTTAGCTGACCAGCTCTGTTGTGATTGGTCAACCACTTACAGTAAATATGTCCCACCCCTTAGCCTAGCAAGTACACTGTAAGAGCACCAGCCAATAGAGTGGTGCAGGGATGACGTATTTACCCGGAAGTAAGCTGCGCATGGGTTCCCTCGACAAAAGAGCAATGGGATTTCTCCATAGGATTTTGGAAAATAGCTCGAAATAAGGTCTGTGGAAAACAAACCTGTTTGATAAATGCACGTTTTGTTCAGCCGGATAATCTCCACATGTCTACCCTACTTTTATAATTTTATAATCATAAATCTAATCGCCAGAAGCAAAATGCTAACGTTATGCTATAAACGAACTACAGCAGGGTCGATGCTTCACCGTCACGCCAACTTAAGATTGATATTCAAAAATACAGATTCAACATTGTACAAGTTGAAGCTTTTGTTTTAACAGTTTGCAAGAGCGCAGGTACTTGCTTTCAAGCAGAACAGGGCAAACAAACTTAGTTGTTTACGTGTTCGGCGTAAGGCTAACTCACTTCCGGGTTTTAGGACTCGTCACTGCACCACTCTATATGAAGCGCAAGTGTTACATAGTGATGTCATTATATTACGGAAATAAACAAAGGAGTCCAAGAGGCAGGTTGGGAGTGTGTGGGAGAGAAACTCCTTCTGGAGGGAACTTTGGGATTTTAGTCTTTCCCGACAATTTACATGCACAAAAACCTATAGAACACACTACAGGAAAGGGATCATTCTCAAAAGCAAAATATGGCCCCTTTAATCAATAATGAAAGTTAGTGTTTCAGCCCTAAACATATGGCTCGTTAGCTTTGCATGCTTGTAATATTAATATTCACTTACAGACGTATGCATTAAATTCACCATCTTCCACAGGTTTAAGTACATACAGGGGCACAGTCGTGCATGAACACAGTGAACCACCTCCCATGAGTCCCAAAAGCAAGAGGAGGAAAAACACACACACACACCGCCAACCCTGGACTGACAGCTGGTCATGGCCGAGCAAATGCATCTAAGCTCCCAAGGCTGACAGAATGATCACGCTGATATGATCACCTCAGACATAACAATTGCCAGGGGAGACGAGCAGGGGATGTGAGCGCCATGTGCAGCCAGGCACGTGACATAATAGTCAGCGAAAGAGTGACGCTTTTGCCAGGCAGGATACAGTGCGATGAGGAAACATTGTTTTTACTTCATCAGCCACACGTTGAAGTGCAGACAGCTTGAAGATATCTGATCTCTTAGGTAGAAAACTACTGAAAACAACTGTAGTTCAGTTGGAAATATACAGACTGCTACTAGACTCCACCGTTGTTTAAACTTTGCATACTTGATTCTACCAACACCCAAAATCCTCATCATGAGCTCCTAACGAATTGTCCTTGAGCAAGACACTGAACCTCTTCCCTGTTACTCATTGTAACTCGCTCTGCAAGATGCAGATGACAGCGGCATTTGCTGGACGCTCAGAGCATTTTGTGGTATTTATACTCGAGCTGCAGAACAGAGCCACCCTCAGTCACTCTCTCAGCCTTTTGAATGCATAACAGGAAAACATTTGGCACCGCCTGTGGTGCAAAAAGAGGCAGTAGCTGATAGACAGAACAGAGAACTTTGAATCAACAGCCTCTCAAACAAGGGGAATGGAGCAGAGGAATGGAGAGAGCTGATAAGGGAAGGAGTGAGACAGAGTGACCCGGAGCAATTCCCTTCAGTGTCTGAGAGAGACAGAACGAGAGGGCAGGGTAGAGGTTGGTACAGAAGGAGAAGTTAAGTGGGGCAAGGGGAATGAGAAGAGACAGCAAACAGATAGCAGGGAGAAACCAAATTCCCATGTTGGCTTAAAACTTCACACAAGGTGGTGTACTGTGCAAGGCATTCCATCTCATCGGAAAGCTACATATACAACCTGATACACTATATTCTGCTATAGCTCACGATTTGGTTAATTCAGGGCTGATTCAAACATGATATCTCTGTCATTTAATATGCACATTCAGTATCAAGAACGGGAAAAGAAAGCGTGCATCATTATCTGTGGAGTTTAGTGAATGCAACTTGCAAAAGGGTTGCATTTTAACTTAGAATATCTTGCACATGCACATGATTTTGATTCAAATAATGTTATGTTTTGGTAAATTCTTTGTCAATTGAGTCCGAAAATGTTTGTCCATTCACCTGTCTTTCACATTATCATTTTGTATGCATATACACAAAATGTCACACATGCCATCATAGTTCTTATTTTAGATTTTCTTTTTTACAGTTTTAGTTTTGTTCTCATAGTTAATTAAAATATTGCAATATACAAAAACAGATCATTTTTTACCAGTTGATAGAAAAGTACCTTTTGTGGCCGAAATATTACCATACAAGCAACGTTGCATGTTATTGCAACCAAACCCATCTTTTTTCCTTTTACTCTGTACTTGCTCATTTCAAGGTTGTGGACAATGACTAGAGGAGCCTGCTTTGGCTGTTTAAAATATTAATCAAGATTTTCTTTTTTATATGGTTGAATGTGCATGCGGTTGAATGCATACCACTCACAAGAAATACTCCCTTTTTAAATTAGAGGAAAAAAACTTCCTACCATGATGTTTTAGAGTCACTTTGAGTCTTGATACTGCACATACTGCGTGCATGGAGACCAATATACCCTTATATTCGCTGTCTTCAAATCTCCCAGTTTCCTTTTGGGTGTGTTACAATCTGAATTTAAAGTACACCGTTTTTTCAGACTCAGATAGATTACCTCCCATTGCATCAGATCCCTTGTGAAGCAGTCAGTTTGTTAAGGCTTTACCTGGGCCAACAGTGCACTCCGTCAGCTGAATCCTATCTACCATCTTTACAGGAAGCAGCTCTGTCTCAAGATCCTCATCAAGACAAAACACAGGAGCCAAACTAGTCAAACCCCGCAGGGATGGATGCCTCTTCAAGGGCCCGCTCCCTCCTTCAGATGGGGACTGATTGTGTGTGTGTGTGTGTGTGTGTGTGTGTGTGTGTGTGTGTGTGTGTGTGTGTGTGTGTGTGTGTGTGTGTGTGTGTGTGTGTGTGTGTGTGTGTGTGTGTGTGTGTGTGTGTGTGTGTGTGTGTGTGTGGTTGATTGAGTCGAGGTAAAGGGTATAGTATTGATTAGAACGTACATCCTGACGGCCTGGGGGATGGGGCTGATTCTCTGCGGGGAAATTATGATGCATTAGTGTTTGTGTGCGCGTGTGCATGTGCGTGTGTAGAAGAGCCTTCAGTGTGTTGATGATGGATACAGAGACAGGGGTGACCCAACGTCCAAGCAAACCCCCTGCGTCCTCCTCAATCTAAAGCACTCCATGGACGACGCAGTGGTGTGATCCCCTTGTCCCTTGTACCATCTGTTCCCTTTATGCTCCTGCTGGTAAAAACACTGAGAAGGAACTGCAAATAAACAACAGCTTCACTTCTTTCCTTTTCTTGGCAGTCGTCTAATGTGATGCTTGGAATAGTGGACATTTTTAAGAGAAGTATTATGACTAAATCATAAAGCAAGAGACAAGGAAGCAACTTCACGATCTGGTCTGAAGCCCTGCTCTTGTGTACCCACAATGCAACAGGAAAGGTACCTCTGGGGGAGCCAAGATGTTTCACCATGGTTAACCCCATCAGTCATAACGCCTATGAGGCATTTAATGCAGTGTACAGTATGTGAGCATACACGTCAACACGTGTCTACTCACACACAGTAACTTGATGTCAAAGACAGTGAGCATCCCATGACAGCACGTGGGCGGTATTACTGTATGCAGCCTACACATGTACATTAAGCCGTGTTGTGTTGTGTTCTGTTTCGTTGAAACTATTTTCCAACCAAATGCTTGTGACAATTTGTTTTCCCAATGTGGGATAGATAAAGGATCTATCTATCTATCTATCAACCATAGAAATAGTCCCTTTAGATACTGTTATTTGCAAGGTATATAGATAATAAAGAAAAGGCCTTATGCGTGACAATTTAACAACCGTAAATTCAAAATGCCTGCTTGTAAATATTAGGGATTTTATTACTGAAGGTCAGAACAGAAGGAGTGGATTTGGTATGCGCTGCCTTGTAAAGATTGAAAGAAGTAAGTTAGCCATGTTGGTTTGGCCAACGCACGTTCCTTTTTTGGTCAGGATATTTTTGGCCCCTTTAGAGGGACATCATTTGCATTCAACTATATTAAGTCGGGAGCAATATGTCAGAGACAAAGACCCTGGACACATAAACAAGATATCTGCATGACATTATTAGTAAGGGAGAAATATGTCAGGTTTCTTGATATCTGGGTGAACTGTACCTTTAAAATTCAAAGATGAGACTGCACGCCAACCTACTTCCAGTGGGGTCCCATAAATAAATTGCAGGAAGCTTGATGTCAGTTTAAAATGTGATTCCTCTTGAACCTAACTGTGGACTGACAATGGGACAGCCAATTGGTTGCTGGAGGTGGATTCATCATTTATATCAAGTTGTTATCTCTTTCTCTCTCTCTCTCACACACACACTAGGGATGTTAAGATTCACCGATTCGCATCGGTGCACCGGCATAAACGTTCAAGATGCGAGTGCACCGGTTGAAAGAGTGCACATCGGCTACAGTTTGGGTTGAACTCGCGATGCATCGATTGTAGCGTCTTTGCATCGGTAAAAAAACGATTAATTCATATAATAACCTTTCATCCTGTCAGCACTCAGCAGAGACGATCTTTGATCTTTGCTTCGCACTACGGAGGCCGAGAGTCTCAGTTATCAACAAACATGGAAGTCGAGGAGAAAGAGAAACACAGCGCACCGAAAAATACCTACAAATCAAACGTTTGGCAACACTTCGGATTTTTCAAGAAAGACGGACAACTTGAAAAATCGCTCGCAAATTGTAAACGATGCTGTGCCGCTTTAAAGTACACAAGTAGTACGAGGAACTTAGCGACGCACATAAAGAGGCGACATGGGGTCTGCGGCTGAAAAGAGAAACCTGAAAGTTAGACAGATGAGTTCAATCACTCAGTGAGGTGTTATGTCAGAGAGAGTGGTGTTTAGTTTACAACAGCCTGTGACTGCCAATAATAGTTTAAATGTCTTCCTTACAATTGTAAGCAGTTATGAAATACCTGTTTGTGAAAGGTTATTTGTATTCTTTATTGTTCCTATAGAAACCACTGCTTTCTGCTCACTGGTGAGTTAGCCTATGAATGAGTATTAAGCACATCAGGCTGGCAGTTGTATGGGCATTGCACTATGGTAGTTGTTATTTGCACATTGTTAATCCTGGGCAATGCATCCTTAAATTGTTTAACTGTGAGCTGTTATACAATTGTACTGTAGGCCTACTCTGGAGTTGTTTAAGGTAAAAAAGGTAAAAAAAGAAACAGCATGATGGGATGCGCAGTACTAGTAGAGAGAACCAAATATGTAAAGCACTTTTTTGTTAATTTATGATTTGCTGCATATAAGGAATAAAACAAAATCCTCTGTCGTACCATTATTTTGCATCGTGTTGAATCGCATCGTATCGCCCCATATCGCATAATGTTGAATCAAATCGTATCGAACTGTATCGCAACAGGGGTGAATCGTATCGTATCGCACCGCCTGGTGTTTCAAATGTATCGTTAATGTATCGTATCGTTGGCAACGTATCGAGATGCGCATCGCATCGGCCTTAGTGATGGAGATGCACATCCCTAACACACACACACACACACACACACACACACACACACACACACACACACACACACACACACACACACACACACACACACAAGCAGCATACATATACAACAACAGAGATGTACAGCATGTGCTGCCAAGAGCCACATCTCAAGATTAGAGTGGTGTAAATGCCTTACAGTGAGCTCACACACACACACACACACACACACACACACACACACACACACACACACACACACACACACACACACACACACACACACACACACACACACACACACACACACACTTCTGATTCTGTAGCTCAACAACACCATGACACAATATTTAATTATTTACTTTTTCATTACAAGCCACACCTGAGTCATAGCTTTATTATGTAAGGGAATTGTATTCCCATTCATTTCATTGTTTTTATTGTTGCAGCTGATATACAGCCATGGTCGGCCACCCCTCCCCAGGGGGGCGCTGTGCTGCCATTCTTTAATAAATTATGAATGTGCTCCTCTCACCTGACCCCAACATTTTGTCTCGCTGCCAGCCACAAGATTAAAAGTGCAATCGCATCAGAATCATACGTATGCGGCATATTTTACAGATACAATTTCCAAAAAATTCTCTTAAACCTTTTTTTTCTTCATTTAGAAGCATGGGGCACATTGGCCAATTATGCCGTTATTATAATGACACTTTGATGTGTTTGGATAGCGCAACACTGTAGCATCCCAAATCCTCACCAGGGTTCAAATATGTTTACCTCTTAGGTCATTTCACCCTTTGTTTGGACAATTACTACGGTGCGGGGCAGCAGCGCAGCTTCAACAGTTTAAAGACTGAATGTGTTTCTTACCTTGCATAGTAGCCTTCCCGAGAGCAAGGGAGAACCACAACACCGCGACCGCAAACTTCATGCTCCCTCTTATCATCTACAACACCGACTGCAAGTATCCACAGCGAAGATCAAATCATTTCACTGGTGACTCGGTCCTGCGGGGTGCATCACTTCAACAGCCGAGCGGGACCTCCGGAGTATCACCGCCGTGCTGTCCGGTTGGAGTAATGAAGGACAGCCGGCTGTGAGTCTCTTTGCATATCACGGACCGCCTTCACAATGTGGGGCAGCAGCAGCAGCCGGTGTGTGTTTTTTTTCCTCGCTGTTCTGACGCCTTTTCAGTTTTGTATTTATTTATCCGGAAGCCTCTTTTCGTATGCGTGTCCCGGTGCAGAGATGGATGCTGCCGGAGCGGAGCCAGGCTGAGGGCGGGACGGAGGAGGGCTGGCCCGTCAGAGGATGGAGGGAGGACTGATCTGATACCCATCTGGAGAGAAATCAACAAATAAATACATACAAAACTGATAGATATATAGATAGATAGATGGATGGATAGATGGATATAGTTATATTAGATAGGTGTATTATTAAGACATGACATTAAAACATTTTGGCCTTTTGTTTTATAGATCAAGGCTATGTGTAAAAAAAAATCCTAATTAATGATTACAATGTTTTAACTTACATTTTGTTTATATATATTTGTTAAAATTCGGTTTGGGCTGATCAAAGGTGGTGAGAAATGCATCATGCCAACCTCTGGTGCCGAAATTGAAGCTTACGCAGAACTGCAAATAAACTGCATTAGCTTGAGTGGCTACATGAGGCTAGCTCCAAAAGCAAGTGAATTTCAAGCCGCCAGGCAGTGCCCCGGAAGTCCCGCGTCGAACACTGTATCCAGTTCTCTTTGTACATCCATGGTGAATTCCCATAAAGCCCCATGTTGAAATGCTTCAATTTATGAATTTTAGTGACATAAACATGATTACAGCGTGGGGCAAACAAATAAGTTTAGACCTCTATTGCGAAATTTGGATATATAACAATTTGTACCGTACAGTTGTCATGAATGGCTAGCTGGGCCTTCAGCTCCACCGTGTTTGTCCATTGTTGGACAGTAGTGAGTTAGATGTTGTAGTCACTGCCTAGATTGGTAACAGCCAGATCCACACTTGGAGCTTCACAACAGCTCTTTAAAAACCTTTTGGTGGGGTCACGAAGACTACGTCCACATTTAAACAAAAACGTCAAGATAACATGTGCTAAAAATGTAAACATCTATTAAAAACATGACAAGGTTCCATCTAAAGACTCTGCACAGAAGTTGAAATAAAAAACAAAGAATTGCATTCAAGTTCAAGGTTTACTTTATGATTAACAGTCATAGAGTAGATGTGGTGCAGCACTTTAGTATCTGATAAACGGCTGAAGATCATCTTTCAGGAAGCAGTGACCTGTATGTTTCCTCTTAGAATCCCATCACACTGTTTTATAGGCAGTGAGTGTGCACATTATCGTAAATCAACAGAGAGCCCACTTTGAAGCTTCACTCAACCAGCTGCACACTTATCATGCCATGCCATGCCATGACAAGCCATACAATACATGCCAAGCGATAATCTCTTTAGTGTCACGGGCATAGGCCGTAGGCACAAATAAAGTTTCAAGGAAAACTGATTCCATGCTAATGCTATAAGGACTCTGGAGTGAATAAAGGATCCCAGATGACCGGAACAATACGCTCTGCCACATCACATCCTGAGAGCAAATCAGATTAGAGTTTCCAGTACTAGTGAGCCCACAGGACCAGAGGTGGTTGTGCTTTCGTTTTACATATGCTGTTATTCCAAAGCTATAACCTTTCGTTGATAAAAGTTGAAGTGGCGAAGCTGAGCACTTACTGTAGCACAATCTATCTAATTACCTGCTGTACAAGCCGACCAGATGAGGCAATGTAGTTATCGATCTCGCACAGAGTTTCATACGCTGTTGGGAAAGTGAGAAATATGCATCTCCTCCGGTTCGGTTCCTTTTACTGTTACAAGTTAATGGCATTGGGGCAGCAGGGAAAATACATGGAGTATAATCAGGCTTCACAATAGGCTTAGCAGTTTTATTTTCCTCAGCTGTAATGTAAAATGCATCATTGTGTCAGCGGATAAAAAGACAACTAGCTGGGAAGTGATAGAGTGTGAAGAATGGGATTGGATTTATGGAGGCGCAAAGGTCCGACAGCCCTGACGTAGAGCAGAGAGCTCACATTCATTTGCTTTGTGTCATTTATTCAGGCAATCAAATAAGCAGTTAGTTGACTCGTAAAGAATCCCCTCCATCGCTCTCTCTCTCGTAATTAATTTTGAGCCAACAGCAGCTGGAAGAAGAACTGCAAGGTGAATCATTCTGCACCCGCGCACAAACACGCAAACAAACGCATTGGGATTTGATGGGCCATTCCACATCAACATGGACTTCTTTACTGCAGGTCACATGGCACTTGGCTGCTGTAGTCCGCTTTGTGTATCTCATTAAATGCCCTCTTACCGAGGCACCTGATCGCTTCTCTGCTACTGCCAAGACTTGCCCACAGGGGGGAAGCCTATCTGGCACACACACACATGTCTGAAGTATATCCTGCCTATCTAACACCCAAACAAAACCCTGCCACTTCTCTGAGTGCATGCTGACTGACAGCAAGTGTTACAGTCAGACTTGGAGGTAAATGCTGATTTCTGGATGGTTTTTAAATGGCAGGCTACTTCAGTAATTAGTCTCCTTCAGCCTCCCATCCATGTTGATTAAGAAAATGAGTTCATATTAAGGTCATCGGAGCTGAGGGCAGGTCTGGAGAGCAATCTGTTCTTTAATTATATATATTTTTAAATGTTAAAAAGCCTTATTTTCAGAGTTTTCTAACTCCTTATTATTTTGGAACAGAAGACATACGCCTTTATTTATTTCCTTTGCTTTATGATGACCATTAATGTGTTACCCATAGTATATCTCACTTTTCTTTCATTTAAAGTAGGTAAAGAGTTATTGAGTGTATAGCAGAAATCCCGGGATCCACTTCACACATCGGACTGATTTCCAATATTACTGTATTGTCCTGTATTGCCGTTTTTGTCAAAGAATATGGCCGCGTGGTAACCTAATGTAATGCTTTATGTTGGAATTCTCAGTCACCGTAGAGTTGCAGCTACCCTTTAAGCTAATAGACTAATGCTTAATGCAACATTACAAAGAGACATGTGCACCTGCTATCCGCCCACACACACACACACACACACACACACGACCCAACTGCTTCATCAAACTGCTGTTGTACCCAATTCCATTTAACAGTCCTCCGGTCTGTGTTCAGTGACCTTTTCAATACAAACAAAAAGGTAGACTACAATAGAAATAAAAACATTTGCCATTTGCCTGTGTGCACATGTGTGTGTTCTAAAGTTCTATCTTTGTGAGAACCAACATCATGTGAAAACAGAGCTCTATAAAGACGTTTATTTTTTGGGATATGTAAGATAAAGCATTAATATATGTATGTGTTTGAACCCAAGTGCAGTACACAGGAAACTGGGAACAGTTCATAATTATATTTAATTTCAAAACTCTGGTACAGAGCAGGTGAGGTAATGGGCGCAGATATATAAAAAGTCCCAGCAGACTAACCAGTAGGGAACAGCCAGAGGGTCGGTCGGGGCCAGGCAGAGGATCAGGAAACAGGAGCAGGATTTGCGGTTAGCGAGGTAACTTCAGGGTTAACTCTGGGTTTCCGGTCCTACGACGCTGGTTCACTTCTTACCGGGGTAGATCTCCATGGTAACTTATGCTGAACACCTAACCTGCTCCGGAGCAGGTGTGGTTCCAGATAAGAGATCAACTCAGTGAAAGCACCGCCTGCTGACCAATCAGAGCTCAGTGTGCAGAGTTTAAATCTATCAAGTCATATTACAGGATAAAGGAAATACAGTTTAAACTGCCGTATACAGGGAAGACGCCGACGTGTCCCACTTATCATTCACATCATCAATCACATCATCGATCATATAATATCATAATATGTCATATATTTCCTTATCTGAGTCAGCTTCTCGAGCCGTATCTGGCGTGCAACACTTACTGTAAGCTTAAAATAATACTTTGGCATACAGTATGTGACAATAAGTTACATTGTCACATACTGTATGCCAAAGTATTATTTTAAGCAACACGTTAAGTTGAAGAAACACTCAAATGTAATTAAAGTCAGATTCACTCGTGTCTTAGACGGGGCAATGATATCATAAACTGTTAATGTACGCATTCAAACACTCGGTAGTTTATTTTTATTTTTTACAAGCTGTACTGTATTCACCTTGCAGGTGCAACTATGTGGCTTTTATCCTGGTTTATCTGTTTAAGTCATGGATGTTTAAAGTTTAACTTCTTCATATTTGTCTAACATGATAGTTTACTATTCAATCATGAAGTATGACGCTGCGCTGTCAGTACGCTTGTCCATGTTTGTGATTGGTCAAATGCTGCTAACCCCGCCCCTTTCTCTTGAACGCGCTCTCAGCCGGACAGAGAAACCCTGGGTTGATTTACAGAGTTGATAACCAACATCGCTGGACAGCTTAGCGAGATCGCGTTTGCTAGGGTTAGTAAGCCAGATAACTCAAACATATCTGGGGTATGTTAACTGGCTTCGTAGTACAGGGCACAGGTCATTGTTATGAGGCTTAAATACTGGCCTGATTGCAGATGAGATGCAGCTGGGAGCACAGGTGAGATGATTTGGTGGGCGTGGCTGGCTGGTGTGGTTCAAGGTTCAAGGTTCAAGGTTCTTTATTGTCAATCTGACATAGCTACAGAGTAATTATGCAGTTGAAAATCTTATGTCACAGGCTTCTCCAACAATGCAACATAATAACATAACATAATAACAATAAGAGCAAGAGCAATACAAAAATAATAATAGTTATAAAAATGAAATAAAGTTATGATGTGGAATAGTGCAGTATGAGTCTATATACAAGTTATTGGAATGATATATATATATTAGGTATTAGATACATACTACTGAGTAGCAGTTGAATGTTTGATGTTGTTTCAACAGTTCAATTGTTTAACAGTCTCACTGCCCGCGGGAAGAAACTGTCTCCGAATCTTCTTGTCCTTGCCCGGATGCTGCGGTAACGTCTGCCAGACGGCAACAGAAAGAACAGTTTGTGGCTGGGGTGATGGGGGTCTTTGATAATCCGTAGTGATTTCTTCCTGAGCCGCTGGGAGTAAAGGTCCTCCATGGATGGCAGCTCCGTCCTGGTGATGTGCTGTGCAGTTTTCACCACCCTCTGTAAAGCCTTACGATCGAGGTCGGTGCAGCTGCCGTACCAGGCCGTCATGCTGCCAGTGAGGATA